TATATATATACGTTATACGATATAAAATATACATACATAATATTCTAAATGATACAAATTAATTGCATTATATTCCTATACCTACTATTTTAATTAAATTATTTGTGAACACCCGATAGTGTTGATTTTGTCCGTACTTGTCTGAGTAGGTACTTATTAGTTTTTAAAACAATCTGAAACACTAAGCAAATAAAAATTCCAATTTAAATTCAATGTAATAAAAGTATTTTAAACAACTTTTATATATATACTTTAAATTGGTTACTATAATTTTACTCACGACCAATGCATTATGCGATCTGATGATTAACTGTAACTAGCTGGTAGGTATATGTATTATGTATTATATATTTTTATTTGATATGGAACATAATATTATATTATATTATAATAACTTAATTTAATTTTTTGTTGGGTACTAATTTTTATACCATGATCATTTTTAACAGTAAATACCTAGGTACTATTAACACAAATCAAATAAATTAAATACGGAGTCTACCTAAAACACAGCTGAATACACTTATATTTTACAACAATAATATGTTTTTTTTTATAAAAAGTACCTAATATGTTTAATGTACTTTGATATGTAGGTATAATTCGTTCAATTATATAAACACATGCAATACAACTCGAGTAATTTTAAATTGTAATTATATAAATAATGAAATGTGGGATGTTGCCCTAAATTATAATTTATTAATCAATGTGATTTTTTCAATTAGAAAAATTACAGTTATTTTAATTTCATAAGTTATATTAAAAAAAAATACTTTTTCTATGAAAAATTATTATAAAATATTTTAGACTAGAGGAACCCGAGTAACCAGAAAATTATTTTTCTGCAGATAAATTGTTCACGATTATAATTTTTATAATTATTTTAAATCTAAATAAATATGTAGTTTTTAATCTTTTGACTAATGTTTTGAATACGGTATGTGTAATTGTTTACATTAGAAGTTTATGTTTCAATTAAAATGTATGACTTAAATGTAGATACAAACAGACTGATGTCTGATATTAAAAAAAATATTACTTTACTGCTATTTAAATACGTCCAAATCATCTCGATTACCCGATTTTAAACTTTCGTGTTTTCCTAAAGGCTAAATCAAACACTCATGCATATTAAAATTAACCTGGGGCGCTAAGTTGAACAAGTCCGTAATGCGATAATGAATATCAAATACCATTTAAATGCATTAAAAAGAAAAGAAAAATATTAAAGACGTTATAGAACTGAGTTGTTAAACGTTCATACCTACCTACATATAAATAATTAGATAAATTATTTAATATAATTGGAAAATTGAATGCAATGTCTATATAAGAGAAATGTTATATATTATTAAACGATCATTAAACATTTAAAAGCGTTGATAAAAATACCTATATAATTGTGATTGCAATGTTTATGTTGTTAAAAATAATAAAAAAATAAATAACCATAATAGTGTAATGTATTGGCAAGGTGCATGCATATTGCAAACATATATAGGTATATGCGCGTATGTGTGAACGTCACAGACTGATCGGATAACACTATATTATAATCATGGTCATTAGGTTGCTTTAAATAATAAATTGTATAAATGCAATAATGCAAATAATGAGAACATGAAAAATAACTATGTAACTAAATATCACGAAGTGTTATTCGTACATAGACTTGGCGATTTAAAACTGAATACAATATAGGTTATAACCGCGTCAATAATTCATTTATAATATTTAAAACTCAACTATGAATGTATGTTAATCTATCTTTAATTTACTACTGATTGAAGACAAATAATAACGTATAATTTGTATTTAAGTCCCAAATTAACTGTATTTAATCAAAAGTAAACATTATTTTTTTATAATTTCACTTAACATGTATAATATATAACTTTTATGCTTGGGTGTACCTACCACATAGGTGCATAATAAGTATATATCAGAAAACTCTACACATATTATAATGAATAACTCATTTTATTATTTATTGTTTATTTAAACGAGATTCGGTAGAACGTCATGAACATCAACATATTATACTAATGAACTAGTTGAATTAATTAAATTTTTTTTTAACATAGTATATTTATAGCGAAACTTCGAATAGATATCAACTTTAATGATATCGACACTTCTGGATATTTTTTTAATAAGCTTCTTATTAATATGTAAGTGTTAGTTTATAAGTGGAGACTTATCATTAAGAAATTAATTTTAAGTAACCGCCCGGCTTTATTCTACGGCCATAACCAGAATAAAAACGATTACGTTTTCTACAAATCTTAAGCCCGACATAAAATAATGTGTAGGTATTAAAACAATTTCATTCACAAGCACGACTGTTTTGCATTACACAACTGTATCATATCATATTTCGTAACAGTTAGTTTTAAAAATATGTTTGTCATTAAGTACGGTTCCCAAATTCCCGGGCAAATTCCGTTACAATTATATACCACTGCATAATATCAGATTCACTGACGTTCCGGCAAACCATAAACCCCTTATTCGCATGTAATAAACGTCTTATATAAGATAGATTTTTAATGTTTAGATACTTACATTCATCATAATTATTATGTATTATTGATAGGACAGATAATTGTAGTACTAGAATCGGCTATTAATTCAACAAGACATTAAAGTCTAATCAGAGATTTGAACAAGATATATTTTAAACTTCAAACATACAATTTGCATCGTATACGTCCATTATCCATCATCATTCTATTAATTTACCATGTGTATTAATATAAATAGACGCTGTTACTTTTGTAAACTGAATATTATGGAGCAAATGTTATAGGTAACTTGTAAAAAACATAAAATCATAATGGGTGACAGTCATAAGGTATTATTATTTATAATATTATAATAATATACTTAGCTGTATAGCAGACTTAATTTTCTCCATTCATTATTATTGTACTTAAAATAGATATTATTCAAAACCCATGAATTTGACGTGCATAAATGGCACAATGCATATTATGAAGAACGAATGTGTTTAAAATTGTACCAATAGTAGAGGTACCTATACCGCAATTTTAGATTCTGCAGAGCAGAGCAATAAATGTATTATATAACTAATTATTAGGTTTTACAAAGATCTGTAGTTTTTTTTTGTTCGTGCACACTGTACGCGTTTACTAGACATGAAATAATTTTAAATAACATGGTTCATATCTTTCAGTGCTATTTTTAGGTATTTGAAACTGTCCACATTTTTAGTTTATTTTCGATTAGTGTATAATATTTTTCGAATAAGATTAAAAATCTTGAAAATGTAATACTAGGGTTCTTATTAGATATTCTAACAGTTATTAAAAATATCGTAAATAGGTTAGTTAAGTCACAATTGTTTACAAAATTCATGAAATCACAAAAATTATTTCGAATTAAAAATTCATGACATTTTTTAGTTTCATTTCTAGAATTTGAAAATGTCATACAAGAAAGCTTAAAAATTATTCTAACCAAAATTTAAAAAAAAAGTTTTGTGGTATGCATTTTTATGAGAGGTCAAACCTTATATTTGGACGAAATTAGATATTCGAACTTAAAATAACGCACATCCTCCAACAATATTGTGATTATTCAAGATAATATAGTAAATATCAGAATTTTTAACTTAAATTATCATTTTCTATACACAATTACAATTTCAAAATATTTAAACTAATAAATTGTTAGCTGTTTATTAAATGAATAAAGTAACTTATAAGAATAACACCTACACTGGGTATATCTATTATGTATGAAATACTTTAGTCATTATTATACATTATGCCAATGTGATTTATAGTAGGCATAAATTAATTCAACATACATAATTACTAATCACAATATAAATATATACTATATAGATATTTACAATAAAATATTCTTAGAAAAGTATAATTAAAAAAAAAAAAACTGTTAATTCACAAATATTTTTATTGGCGTCTGAAGTTAAAATTTTGATGAGATTGGATATTCACACTTAAAATTATTATCATTTCTCTCAATCGATCTTCCTATAGGTCGAACATCTAATCAAACTCGGTAGTTGAAATAATTTATTATTGTACTCAAGTTGAAAACATCCATAACATTGACGATAATAATTATAAACACTCGCCACCGTCTGGCTATTTATATCATATAGGTGAGTTTACTGATTTTTGAATTCGTTAGGTAATGTATACAAATTTGTATAATAGCAGTTTAAGGAATTTGTGGTATTTATTAATGTCCATCAAAATTATGGCTTTATTTAGTTTATCAGATTAGGCATTATATACTGTGCTTGATATGTACGACAGATAAATTTAACTTTCATCATGATGTAATCTTAATAAAATACGATTATAAACGGTAATAAATCATCATTTCATAAATATTGCATATGTTTAATCATATAATCATAATAACCCTGAACAATTGATATATACATAAATAAAGAATCTGCATGGCATAATATATTATGACTTAAGCGGGTTCACACGGAATTTAAAAAAGGATCAGTAAGGTAAGCCATAAAAACATTTATTTTGATTTTTCTGGGACGTTTCCAAAAAAAACAAAAATAAAATAAAATATACTGAAATACACACAACAAAATAATATAAAAAATTGCAAAATAAAAATGTATACAAGAACTTTACTTTTAAGACATACTTTATAACCAATAAAAATAATTTGAATGCACAAGCGTAATGGCAACCTGGAACTATAATGTAAGTTTATATTTTTCGATTTGGCCTAATAACTATAATTTTGTTTCAGATTTCAGTACTTAATTTATTTTGGAGTTATACAAAATTCATAATATTATACTATGGAAGGCTGATAAAAATTAATATACATTGGTAAGTCATAAACAAAATGCTGAAAAAAAAATCAAATAGTTAAGATTTATTTGACAGTTCGTAATATATATGTACTTAAAATAATATATTTATATAATTTAAACAGTAAGCAAAATAATTTTCATATACGCATGCAATATAGTATATTATAATATTATCTGACTACTTGTGCATTTAAAATAGTGAGTAATTTCTTATAGATTAAAAAAAAAATGTATACAAGGTTTATTTCCGGTTTGGTTTTTTTTTTTACTTACAACCACTGAGAAGAAAGTATAGTAAACATGTGAAATAGGACAAAACAAATCTTAAATTTATGTGTAATAATATGTCATGGAACTGTAGATTTGTAGCTACATTTTACCCAGTACGTTGAGATAAAAAAACGTGATATAAAATTATCACAGATGTATTTTTTAAATCAACAAAGTTGTTATGAAAATATAACTTAATATTGACTTATTGCATACGAGTGGAGAGTATACCAATCTAACATTTTGGAAATTCGTCATTAAGGAACAAAATATTAGTATAAAACTTTTAGGTTAAGTATTATATCACAATATTTGATAGTTAATCCCAAAATATTAAACAGCACCGTTTCACATTAAATGGTTAAATTATAAAATACACCTTTTGTTTTATTAGAATTATACAGAATAATTGAAACGTTATGCAAGTACGGCAACAATTTAAGTAGTGTTAAAAAAATTTGCAGTATTGAAAAAATTTGCAGTTGAGATGTGCAAAATAGTAATGATTATATTTTAATATCTATCACGACTTCGTGTTAAGAGAACGTCCCACATTCATAAGTATCTACATCTTACATTATGTTGTGTACAGTAAATTTTGTGTTGTTTGTTTGATTGTTTGAGTAAATTAACCTATAATCAAACTTAAAAGTAAGAACATCATTTGAGTTTGTACGAGTATAATATTATGTTGGTTTTTTACGCTTTTCTAATTCTTAAATGAGTATGAGCACGGCGTAAAATATTACAATTTAGAAATGTCAAATCGCCAATTTCTTAAAAAAGTTAAAATATACTATATAGTAAACAACTAATGTTGTACAAACACAGATAAATATGTTTTGTTACTTTAAAGTTTGGAGGTAGGTCAACTCACTATAATATTGAAAATATAACACCACAAAATTAGTATTCTGCCGAACGCCAATTTCAAGTTCGGTACGATGAGCGTTCGTAACACAATCTGATTACGCCTTTGGGTGTTGCGTTCACTTAAGTCTTAAAAAAACGGTACACACATTGTATGAGCAGCCCTCGAACGAGATTCGATATTCGGATTGAATTATGTGTTAAATTCGTTTTGATTATTTTTTTGACCGTAAAAACAATTTGACGCTCATACGAATTACGAACCAACAGTCAGCAATATTGTACTAAAAAAAAAAAAAAAACAATAACAACTATATTCGTTTATTGGAGTGTTTACAACGTCATGGGTCAAATTACTCCGATATTATAAAACCTATCAATAAAAAAAAAAACGGTCTTAATTGTGAATCTCATTGCTCGAAATTATCACTACTGTCGTCATACACACAAAACACTTTCAATAGCGATCTATTACGTCATTCGAACGCGTATTTACGCTCTTATATTGTTTCAATTAAACGCAATTGACGCGCCGCATTATTCTTCCACGCCGACTTCGTTATAGCTACTGTGTATGTGACCATCTTCCCCCCCCTCCCCACCACCACCAATCTTGCACGGTTAAATAATAAATCGTCGACGATCGGTGTCACCCGTGGCCGTCGATTAATTAAGTATAATAATAATAATATATATATCCCATGAACACTGTTGTGTCGAGGCACGTGCAATGAGACGTCTTGAAAGTATACGTATTATAATGTATTGCACTTAATGTAAAATTGTTTTTAATTTTTGAAGGAGGCTAATAAACTATAAACCCGTGCCCTTTCAAGTTTACTCGAGGAATTATTTTTCAATTAAGACTGACAAACAAAAATACATCAACGATAAAAATAACGAAAAAACAACATCGGATCGTTATTAACGAGGAGTGGTTAAATAAATTGTCAATTTAATACCAGGAGATTCCTCGTATTAAGTATTGTCCTTGCCGAAATTCAAAAAATATCGAAAATACAGTCACAAATTGTTTTTTTTTCTAGTGCCTTTTAACGTTTCCAGCACTAACATATACATTTCGATGACCAATGGAATTGGCTTTAAATGTCTGAAAAACGTTTCACAAATTTTTTATTTTCACACGGGTATCGAGGAATTTAATTTTGTTCTAAACGGTTTTACTGGAATAATATTAAATCCAAAATTTAATTGACCATACTATAGAACTACCTACCTATATACATTGTACAAAGGTCTATATAAAACTCGAATGGTGTCCAAACGGACAGTTTTACACCATCAATTTAAAACTAATTTGACAGCAGAGAATTACTTCTCAATATAATTTTATAGGTTTATATATATATACACACGGTGGAGTATACTATACAGGATGATTTACTAAGCAAGCTCGCCACTATTTTTTCCTTTAATAATGAACTTATCCAAAGTCTGATTTTTGGAATTTTCAAATAGGTACCTACACTCAACGATAATTTTTTAGAACTATTGGATTTTTTTTTAACTATACTCAGTTGAATGTGGAGATACAAACTTCTGTTTTGTCAAATAAAAACTCCCATTTTTACTCTAATTCAGCAGATATTTTTTTTGGAAATGTTGATATACCTGATGAAAAATGTTAACAAATAGTTTCCCAGTTATTCAAGGGTTTATACTGAGGATAATAATCCTTAAAAATGGTTTAACAAAAATATAAAATAGGTGTTATGTATATTGGATCTAGTATTTATAGTATAGATAATTGCACCATTTTTACAAATTATTTATGTTGATGGATTAATATTAATTACTAAAATTTTAAAATCACCATAGTCATTAGCCCATTTGGAGAATCGCCCTGTACATAATAAAATTTACATATTCGAAATAGGTTAAAATTGAATTCTGGAAACCAGACGAAATAATTTTCTGTTTTAAAAAATATATATATTAAAAAGTCTTCATAAAGTTAAAATCCAAAATATTATTAGTACGAGTATAGGTTGGTAGGAGATCAATTATCCCAATAAAAATATAAGCCTACAAGATAAATATATTTTATTTCATTTAAAATATCTATAAAAATTAATATGTATTTTTCTGTGTAAACTACATTGGGATGAAATTAATGAACTAAGACAGGTTTTATAAATTATTCAAAACAATTTTTAAGTTTGTGTTTTGTCGAAATTAAATATTTATTTGAAGTTTTATAGAAAATGTCTTTACTCATAAACCATGTTTTTGACAAACTTTGACCTGACCGAGATTTTAAATATTCTCCTGAGAGTTCCATAAACGCATATATTATATATATATATATTTATTATTTATTATTAAATAAAGAATATTTTCTCGGGTAGAGAAATATAAATGTTGTACAACTTTAAAAGTTATTATAGAACGTCAAATACGAAGTCATACTTATAATAACCGTGCACAAATACCTATAATACAGTAAACATACAAGAAAACTTCGCTTTATAACTAATTCAATATGACGTCAAAACAGTGAAAACTATAATATTATGTGAACGTTAAAAGGAAAAACATTGGAAAACTCGCTCTGCCGTATAGTGTGATCCTAGTGTATCACGTAGTTGGGTACATCACGGTTTAGTTTACAAAAACCAATTCCGTGCAAAGAGTTTTAGGTTAGGTATCAGTCTCCATTTCAAAGCGTATTTTAATTAATGTATATTCAGTATTCACATTACAACTAGGTAGTAATTTATTTTTCTATTAATAATATGAAAGGTTGAACAAAGGTTTTTGACATAAATATCACATTTATATTATATTATACTGTAATAAGTAATAACACTTATCATTGTAATTTGTTTCCCGTAGTTTTCTGATAGTTGCTCCCAATGATTTAAACGGTTAATGTTAATTTCTTAATAATTTTAAGTTTATGTTAGATTAAAAGATCATCAAAAACAACAAAATACCAATTTCTATAATAGAACCTCCGACTTCTCAGAACCTCAGAATTTAAAATATTTGAATGAGTAATGATCATTAACTATCGATGGTTCATTATACTATTATAACACAGGCGCATATCGTATATATGTATACAATATTATCGCATATTCGTAAAAATTATCACTTTTTTCTCGATTTAGGGTACTTGTAATTATTTTCCAATTTTATATTTTTGTTTATCGAACTTAACCATTTTAATAGATATTAGATAAAAATATATTGCAGTAGGATTAACGCTGTGTTTAAACGATAAAATGATACGGTAACAATTATTGTTCTCAAAAAGCTCATCGCATACGTCATTATCTTTCTAATTTTCAAATTATATATACTTTATATTGTGGTTATTACTTATTATTTACTAAATAAGATAAACAATACAAACAAACTACACAAACACCACACTGTATAGCTAATCGTCAATATTAATGTTGTACACGTTTAAGCGTTTTGTTCTTTACCGAAATAGAAAAAATAAAACATACTATCGAACCCGTTAAAGTGACGTAATTGTAGTTAAACTATACCTACTATATAATAAGTATAAGTTCATAATTTAATTAACACATAATAGTAAAATGTGATACCATCTCATTATTGTAATAATAATAACGCTCGGCCATAATATATATTTTATCGGTCGAGATGAATCGGAAAACGTTCTCGCCGCGAAAACAATTCGGGAAATTCAGTATAGCCGACATATCGTTAATAATTTACGTTTGTACCACACAAGCAGCGTGTTCAGTCCTGTTTAAAATAATCAAATTTATTATTTGTAATGTATTATTGTTTTTTCGGTCCACGCGAACGATATCACGGAGCGTATCACACTTAGTGTTAGAACTCGACCTGCCGCTGACCTTTCAGACCAAACATGACCCGAGCTTATCTAAACCCAACACATAATTTTTTATGCGAGCGAGCGGATGTAGGCAATGTAAGCACGACTAAAATTGTGTGTTTCCAATCGTGGTATTTTAATTTTTTTTCACTCGTCTTACCACACTTGTTCATATTTACATTCGCCGCCAAACACGCCGCGTGAGTGTTATGGGTGTGTACTGTGCACGATTTATTCGACAAAAAAAAAAACCGTGATTATTTTTATTTGGTCAAAACCAATTTGGTCGTAAATATGTCATTGAGATGTATAAAAATATTACCGAATAGATAATGTGATCAATTTTAATGATGATGCACGTCATCGTGACCGCATCGAAACTCTGTAATATAGGTTTTTATAGGTAGTGGTTACTCGGTAACAAATTCAGTATGGGTATTTTTTTGATTTACTCTTTCGTGAGTCCACGACGACGTTCTACGAAATTAGAATTTGTGAACATTTGGACGAAACGGGTTTTAATTTAACGACACTAAAAGTTCGTTTCGTTTGTACCTATCAAAGTATATATTGTAGGTACTTATACGTATTTTAATATAAAAAAACAATACGATTCAGATTTGCAAAGAGTTAACTGTGCCATTCAAATATGGTCACTGGTCAGGTGGTACTACATTCGAAAAATATGTATTGCAGTTTTGGATAGCTCTTAATATAGTATACCCTTATTTTTAAACATAATATGATTGGGTTTGTGCTTCGCCCAACTATATATATATATATAACACCATACATGTATCAAATTTAAAATTTGCTCGTTACCCATTCCCGACATGGTTTTGTACATCAATTCTATAATTACGGTTGTTATAACTTATAACGAAGAGTGTTCACTTTAATAGTATTATACCACGAGAATAAAATGTATCGTATTTCTATAATTTATAGGAAAACTCTCTTACGCTGTGGTCGTAGTGATTTGCTCTTGCGTCTTAATGACATGACACTCTGTGTGTAATAAAAAGGAGTCTTTTAGTTTCGAAAAAGTATCGAATGAGCGTAGTTTTGTGTTTGATTCTAGTGTAATCTTACACGATATAGAAGAGTCAGGATCGTCATAATACAGTTGCAGTATAATATAATACTATCACTGCATAATGTGAGTATTGCGAGTAAATTAATCTCTACTTTAGACAATTTATATTTCAAAGAGGTAACATTTGTTTGTATGTAGTGAGTAATCCCTGTAACTACTGAACAGGTTCTAAAAGTTCATTGATGATCAATAACTGTCCATGCAGAGGTCCCTAACATATTATAACATATTACATAATATTATAGTAATTCGAATATGGGTATACCTAGGCCTAATGTATGCCTATAGTGCATTTTTAGTTTTTTTATGAGAAGGCTAATCTCGAAAACTATACTGGCCCTATTTACTCTAGGTTTTCGTATCACGTAAATGAATGTTCAACAAATTGCATAGATGTCGTGTATGGAATTTAGACATTTGAGGTGGCTCACACATGAACTTTGCTTCTGCTCACGAAAAACGAATCATTTTATTATAAAGTTGCTGTTATTGATGATTGGTTACACAACTAAAATTAAAAACACAAAAATTGGTACAGTCGAATATTCTACCCCAAACCATGCGTTGCTCCTGGGATTTATTTTTTGCTATTTAAATGTACTACAAAAGTCCTTATGTCTGTAGATCATAGACTCAAAAACTATTGATCGGATTTTTAAGAAAGATTTAGCAATAATCTTTTAGATTTATCAGAAAAATTTAGAGAGTGATTTGAACCACGTTTAAAAATGTATTATACCAAGTGCTTTATCCAACAGCTGGATGCCCACGCTATCGAATTATTTCAAAACGCGAGGTACTGGCACTGATGAATATTTGTCCGTGAACTGAGGTGAACTAAAATCAAAACACACCGATATAGAATCGGATATCTGCTTTAAGGTTTGCTAAAATTCCGGAGAAAAGTCGGGTGATACAGCTAGTTTTATATCATGACAACAGGATGACAGCAATTAGACAACTTAAATATTGACTATTTAAAAAAATCAAGGAATTATTACGTTCTCTTTCTTGCTCACTTTAGTCAGCTTTACCATACATTTTACGCGTGTACGTGTTTAATAGGACACAACGAGATTATTGGTTAACCGAATGACAATACGAATTATTCGGCAACCACAGGTCTTTAATCGCTTACACACATTTTCCAGTGTCACTGACGTCTGACATTCGTCTTATATTTAGTATGACAATGTCAGCTCGTTTCTCAATACCCCCCCCCCCCCCTGAGAAAATAATTTGACCTCCCATTCATTGTAAAAGCACTCAGTACAATTATTATGAATTTATACCTTTTTTTCTTTCAAAATGCGTAATCTTGGATTTCACAAAATTGGTTTTCGGAACTCGCGACCAGAATCTCATATACGGTTTGAGAGTTCGAAAGCAACACATTTTAGTTGCGATTCGGACATGACATCATATAGATAAGTGCAACGACCACAGTCCGCATAAAATATTATGTACCACGTAATATTATATTATACGTTTTAGATATATTTCTTTCGTACGCATTCGACCACGGCGTTTAAAACGATCCATTTTTGACGTTGTCGTCGCGTTGATCAAATAAATCGTCACGCTGCTTTAAACGTACTTAGCTATATACGCATCGAAAGGCGAAAAGGGCTTAGCGACACCATAATAAATGAGCCACCATAATAGCAGACAGTTTCCGCTTTCGAACGGGCGGGCGCCGGTGTTCCTGGATACGCGTAGGTATGTCTATATATTTATTCAGTGCACACAATTATTAACGACGAGCGGTTAATTTTTAATTCTTGGTCCAATGTATACGACAAATTAGCGTTTAAATTCTACTCGTCACGAAAAATACACTAAAATCGTACCTTGAATGAGCCTCTCGAACCTTTTAATGCCGTCATATAACAGAGCGTCGGTCGATGATAGTATATTATTTGTACAACATAATATAGGTATATATTACGATTATTGTTTTATTAACGCCAAACGGCAATTTCACATAATATATTACGACTAGTATTGTAAAAAAATATACGTGTAAACGGTTACAGTACAATAGTGCTGCTAATGTATGTAAGTACATAAGAAAGTTATTATACGATAAAATAGAGTGTTAAATATAATAATTACGATTTGTAGTTTAACGATAATTAAGTAAAAGTGGTCGTGTGTGGCTCAAGGATCAATATTATTACTTGTGTTCTGAGCTGCATACGACGCATAGTATGGTTGTGCCCATAAGAAGTTTGTTGATGCCTCGGACATAGAATCGAGATTGATTTCCTATGAGATGGAACTTTAAAAGGTGAGGCGGCAAGGATTTTGGGAACGTCCAGTGAATCATTTAATACCTATACTAAGAATAAGAAATCTAAGTCGGCTTTATGGCGAAGAGAAGCAAGTGTAGACGTATTTTCTCATAATAATCGTGAGGTACATTGTGAATGTTCGTTTTGAAAGCAATATGGTTTAATCATTTATTTTGGACACGTCCAAGACATATCTGTTCGTTGACTTAATACGGTAAATATAAGGCACAGAGGCATCTAACTGGCTCAAATAGTTTAGTTGTTACGTATGACAAATCCTAGAATTTTAAGTGCTCTGTTTACCACCATATCGATGTGAGGACTAAGACCGATTAGATCATTAGCTAAATTCAAGATTTTGAATATAGGTAACACGTTCTAGTTCAAGGCCATCGAGGAAGTATAGTATGGGTTTTAAGTATCTAAATATACGAGTATGATCTCTACATCATAACCAATAGGTGACTATAAATTATAATACAATACCTAACAGTGAATCAATGTTAAGTTTTCAGTAAATTATCCTTGTAAGTCTTTGGTATAATTTGTTGTTGTTTTTTTGTTTTTCTATTCCCGATCATATCCCGAAAACGCCTGGCATACAGATACTTTTAATTATCTAATAGCCTATATGTTATTTTTTACACAATCGGAAGAAACAATTTAAAAAAAATATCCTTAAAGTCGTATTTAAGTTGAATACAAATAATTATAATATATAAATAGGCACCTATGTCATATTTGAAATGAGTTTTTCTTCAATACAAGATGGTTCTATTAATCCGATAGTTTGAGCAATCAGGTGTAACGATCTGGACTAGAAACATGTTTCATGAACGAAGGGTCAAAAATAAATACCTTTCCTATTATAATAGTAATAAGACATCGCGTTATGACTTATACACCGACCATACATAAAGTGAAGGGGGATGGGGCGCTGGGGAACTCGGTCCTTCTATCTCTGAAATACATAAAAAGCGTCACCTTTAACATTTACTTTAAAAGGTTCTTCGAAACGCTCAAATCTAACATCAAACTATTTTATTCTTTCGAAAATTTAGTTTTACCTTTTTGTTAAAAAATATATTATATTTGATCGAAAATGGTTGGGTCAGAATAATAACTGTGATAAGAATAGTGGTTAGTAAGTATTTCGGATTATTTCATCGCCTATAATATGCACTATGCATTTTTCTAAAGCATCAAAAATTAGGTTCATGGAGGTCTGCATTGTGTTCTGACAAATTCTTTAGCAATGGTTAACAAGCAAATATTATTTTAAGAACTCACATTTTCCGATTTAGTAAATCAATCGTCTTATTGTAAATCAAAAAATTCTCATTAGTTTTATTAATATACAATTTGTCTTTTATTGTTATTATTTTTGATGTACCCACAGCTATGCGTATTAACAAACAATGTGTGTTTATGAAAGACATCAAATTATTTTGTACATATTTTATCATTTTTTTGGTATAGGTATAGGTCCTACGAATGGTATAATTATATCCTATCCCATACTATTCACAGTATTAACTGTTCAATAATTCAACGAGTACATTTTTTCATTGAATAAGTAGTTTACGTATTTCATTATTCGTTAAAGCATTATTTTTTTTTTTAATTTAAAACATGCTTATTTTTGTTCTGGTATAAGAAATATAGATGAATAAAATGTAAAAATAATATTACTTGCAATTTTAATGGAAACAAAAATATAATATCATTTTAGGAAAAAAGCTTTGCCTAACTATAAGGCTATGGTTATATTATTAGACGTTAACACTGACCTTTGGCTTCGGTTTGGACTGGCCGAACGCCTCCGTCGCCGCCGCTGCAGCGTCGTCATCTTCGGCGCCGCTGAACGTGCTGCACGTGCTGCATCCGGATATCTTGCGCTCGGGCGTGTGCAGCGAATAGTCTGCGTCCAGCACGCTGATGACACTGCCCGCGGCGCTCCACGTGCTCGCCGCGCTGCAATCGGACGACGAGTCGTTGAACCCGCAATCGGCGGACGACCTGTACTCGAACTCGCCGAGGTCGTCAAGCGTGAACATGGACGAAAAGGACACCGGGTCCTCGGAGTGGTCGCTGACCACCACGGACGGCGTCCGGAACTGACGGCCACCGGCGCCGTTGACCGGGGTCTCGCCGTCCGACGGACCGCAGCCGTCGTACAACATCACGCTGCCCGCGTCGCCGCCCGCGTTGCTGCTGAACGACCGGTACAGCGACGGGTGGTGGTGCAGCCTGCTCCCGAACTCCCGGTGTTGGTGATGGTGGTGCGTCGTCTCGTAGCCCTGGTCCAGGCTGTGGCCCTTGCGGCACGGACCGCCCGTCCCGTCGCCCTGGCCCTGCCGGCCCACCGGCCCCGTCCACGACTTGCGACGCTTTCGCTTCACCTTGGTCTTGCTCACCTCCAGCCGGCTGACCACCACCTGCTGTAGCTGTGGCTGCCGGCCGTCGCCCGACAGCATGTCTTCGGCTCCGCCGTCCGAGATCGTCGTCAGCTTGTCGTCTTCATCGCTACCTGTGAGCAAACGAATAAACGATACATAAAAATACATTCAAATACATAAGACTCGAAACAACTGCGAACAGAGTCGCTTTGCACTGCCTGTCATCGTTCAAAATGTAAAACGTGGACACTTTGTATAATCATAATATATTATTATAACATTATTTTAAATTAATGCATGTATGATTTTTATTTTATTTTTGGAAAAAAATAATAATTTTGAACTTTGACAACATTATTTTTGATAATCATTGAAAATTTGGTTGTGGTAACGTTTGGTAAATGTAAAACAACATAATCATTTTCGAGTATACATTCGTAATTTCTCGATTTCATGAGAATTTTAATATTCGGTGGTACATAAATATTTACAGTATTAATGTGTGTGTTTCCGACGGGGTTACGTTGATTGGCATTATAAAACAATTAAAACAATGGCGGGTTAAATATGAATAAAATTGACTGAAACCATTAACAGCTATTGCGGGATACGTTGTGGCTTACATTATTTGCACGCAGTGGCAAAAATTGAAAATGGAAATTGGAGAATATGAGTAGCAGAATACTTGAAAAAACAGTGTTTTGAATATGAATATGTGTTTTATCATTATCAATTAGAACCTCGATTTCGATCAAGAACAGCACTTATTGGCCTTCTTCAAGATATCAATAAGTTTACAACACGATATATGGTATACCTAAAGGAGTCATGAGAAATAATATAGCATAGCCGTTGCATATAATAATATAGTCAGACTATCTTTGTCGATTTTTTTTTTCCTCAATTTTGTGGAAATTGTTTAAAACCTTATGACATTTTCAATACAATTTGTCATTACTTGACACGTCTTGTTTACGTAGTCGCATATACTTTATGCCATCGTGTGTATGTGTCTGTGCTAGCCGCTAGCACAAAGTGTCTGCGTTTTAAAATGTACTTTTTCATTTTTTACCCGACCGCACAAGTGTCCACGTTTTGAAATGTTCGTTTTTACTCGACCATACGAAGTGTCAGCTATTCGCATTTTTAATGTTTGACCGTGCAAATAGTAGTGACCTCTAGAACCCGAAATGACACACTCAGTGGCGTATCTATAGGAATTTCGTGTCACAGGTCACACGCAATCGAGTGGCGCACCATTTCCGTTAACGTTAGTTAACAATTAAGTCGCGGTTATAAGATGGTCAGTGTAGACGTAGTCTCCAATAGTACCGCACAAATAACCTCCCAATAATTAGTCGAATGTTAACGCCCCAGGAGTTAATATCCTCAACTTTTTGATTTTGACGTACGCCACTTTATAATGTATTTTATTTTATTTTAACGAGAATTTCGTTAACGCAATATGTATATAGAATGGTAAAATAAAAAGATTCAAAAAGATATCATTAAGATGACGCAATCCCGCGAATAGAATTTTTTTTAAATATAATAATATTCAGCTTTATTATTCCTTAGAAAACGTGCAATAAATGATATCTCATCGATGTCAAAAAAAAATCAACCAACGAAGTTTTTTGACAGTGTCCTTTGTTTTTGTCTGGATCGCGATTAACTGCGTGTAGATTAGACTCGTCAATAACCATGGTCCAGGTTTTTAGTCATAATATATTCATACTATATGCTACCTCTAAAACAATAATTGTCAAATACAACACAATTGAAATTATTATTATTATTATTATCATTTTTTTTAGCTATTTATCATAGGTAATTTATATTAAACATCTGCAGCTGCAGGTGGGGCCATAATTGAATAATTTATCCTTTTTTTTGTCTTGTGGCATCACTACATGGGGGCCGAACTGTTTTTTACCCGTGGCTTAACCCCCATGCAGCATCGTTCATTAAAAATCAATAATTTGTACAACGTTGAATAATTTATCCTTCATAGGTATATTAAATACAATTAACAATAATTATAAGTTCTTCGTAATTTCTATTTAAACTTTAAAGACCGTAAAATAGATTGCATTATTATAGTTGAGTTATAGTATCACTGCAAAACATCAATGATGGTCGATTGATTGTTATTGCAGACAGTTTTTGTTGAGTGCTATTAATTCACGGGTAGGTACTACCAAAAACACACAAAAACTGCTCATTTGAACGAAAAAAAAAACGTTATCGTATGCATCATCCGTCTAATTTTTAGCTCCTTGTGGGTTGTAATCCACCGATAGAGGTGACTATGCCCCCCCCCCCCCATTCCTCTACAAAAAACCATCATGTACCTATGTAACTGTTGTTTATGACCACGTGTGTAAATATTCGTGTTGCGGTGGAATGAGCTCGACTGTCTATTACTGGTATTTATTTTCCAATAGCCGCAACGGATAAATATATTATTTTCAATAATTAGTAGGTGATTACTCGGTGCTCGGTTGCCCACATATTTTCACCCCAGACTCTGGTCATGTACGTGTACGCGTAAATTATTGTGGCTATCATTATAGGTTATAAACTTATAAATTATAATACATGTTTTTTTTACAAAATATGTCGTCAGCCCGCATCAGTTGTTACAATGACGTTTCAGTACAGTCACGTACCCATACAGCCGCGTTCGAATTCCAATTAATTAAAACGCTTTCAAAATACGACCGAATGGTAACCACTTACTCGAATAAGTCCAAATACCTATAGGTACTTATATTATGATCTTTATAATCATTCTCATCATTATCGTAAGTACATAATATAAGTAGTATATGCGATATGATATTATATAAACATAATAATATCATGCTGTCTTAACTTAACATTTATTATTTTATAAACTTATTAATTGATTAAAAGGGTTTAGCGAGAGACATAAAAATGTATAGCTCTAAAGTAAATATTTATTACGATTTTTTTATAATTAATAATCATTATACATTTCATAATTATATTAAATGGCTACGTCAAAGTGTGTTTGAAATTATAATTAAAGTTATTTAACAGGAATTGCAATAGCATGATAAAACACCGAATAGAGAGATTTTATATTTTCAAAATGATAAAATGGGGCGTTGCAATAATTTAAGTGACGTATTCTGAAAAGAAATATGAAAAATATGTCACAGGAAATAATATTTCCTGTCTAATGCACAATCCATATATTATACTCTTTTATCCTTAAAGATGAAAGAACTTGTGTGTATCACAAACAAAATACACGGTTCAATACCACACCTTATTTGTCCCCCAAAAAAGCAGTGCCAATCTTAAATGTTAAAAAGCCTTTGAGAAATCTAAATAATATTGCATTAGAATATGATAAAATGCAGGAAAATGTGTTCGAACAAAATAATATGTTGATTGACGTTTGAAACAATTGAAACCCAATCAAGATACCATTCACAAACAGCATCTATATGGATATAACTGCTGAGGAGCTAAAACATTTAGTATTTAATAATATATGTCTTGTACATAATATACAAAGTAAAAAATAAACACTAGAAGTTAAATTAATTTTGTAATTGATTTATATCGAGGTTAAAAACGAGAAGTTTTTTGTCGAATGTAAAAGCATTTAATTTAAAAAAGTTTACAAAGAAAAAACAAAACTAGTTTTCTTTAGTCTGTAATGTATAGGTAAAATATTTTGTTATTTAAATTTAAACTTCCGTTATGATACTAAAATTATATATTTACGAATTATTCCTGTCGAAAGTTATGGAACTAAGAAACATGGTTTATGGTGGCAAAATTACAATATTAAATGTTTAGTAAAATATTCCGTTTGCAATTGGATTCGTCTTATAAAATGTTCAACAAAATATTAAAAGTCAGAGAAAATTATACTTGTACACTTAGATAGTTAAAACAATTTTACCTTCGCATTTATCGGAGCACCTATTTTGAAATCGTCAGACTGACCTATTTTAATATGTTTCAGCCTCCATAGTAAAACGAATATTATACATTAGCGATTAACCCCAATATTGTGCACGGGATGAGATACAGAAATATTTTATCCGAATAATCGGAAATACTCATAAGTATGTGTCATCTGTGTATAATATAGTAATAGATTATTGTTGGTTTACATGATTTATTAAAATATAATAAAATAATGCGCTTCAAATAAAAACAAAAAACGAATTGTCGTCGACCATTAACAACCTAACCAATCGGAGTATACTGTAATACACCTACTTACGCTTAACCCAATTCGATGTAATTTTTTTTTAATAATTCATAGCATTTCAAAAAATATACACAAGTCAAACAAATCGAAAAAATTAATATTACCAAAATCGTAAAACGTAACCTAACCACGAGAGCCTTGCTGAATGCGTTTTCATAATTTGCAGTTTTGCACTAATATCAAATCATGACGAATATTCAAACGTCGTTTGGAAACTATTTTTAATACCCACTAATCATTGAAACCAAGGAAAAACGTTTTTAAACTAAAAAATATTTCAAATCCAAAGGGGACGTTTGAAAAACAAAAAGACAAGTTTTATACCATCGTAAATCACGCAAGTCCAATTTGCATCGTGTGAAGTTTAGCGGAGCACAAACCATACTCGGGATAAGAAAAAAAAAATGTAACAAAAAAAGGAGATAATATACAACCACCAACTTCGTAAAAAAAAATATGTAAAAAAACATTAATCGTGCAAACATTGTTAGGATCAAAAACTGCGGTGACGGGCATCTGAGTTAACGAAGGTTGATTAAAAATATAAATACAAAATTAGTCATCAAAAAGATCATAGTGTATAAGTGTTACTTTTCGTTAAACATGACTTTACCTAGTTGTGTTTTTATTTTTATTGTGCATTCTTGGAGATTGCAATTTTATCAAATTAAAATTTTATACATTACACTAAATGCTATTCTTAGGTACTCTGCTATTACAATGTTTTTTCGGTCGAATTATTTTCAATGTTGTTAAAAAAATGTCTTAGTGTTCTTTTTCTACATGCCTAAGTCATTTTATTAAAATCGTTGTAAACATTAATGCTGAGTTTAAGAAAAAATAAAGCTTGAACAAATTTACATTACTGTTATC